TTGTAAGATTGGATTGGTTAGGTTTTCTTTAGTTCTGAGGTGGTTAATCTCTTGTTTAAGAAATTCCACTTGCTTGATTTTCCTGTTAATAACATTAAGGGACTGTGAGACAGAAATGTCTTTTAGCTGCCTTAAATGTTTTTTCTCAGGTTTGGTAATAAATGGAAATACAATTTTCCTTCCAAAATGCTTGGTTGATATTCCATCTGTATCTGTACTAAAGGGGTACAAAAGATATATGAATGGAAGACCAAGAATAACAGCATCAGTCATGTCTTTAACAAGAAGGAATGATGTTTCAAAACATACGTCTTGTTGACAAACATGAACTTTAGGAAGTTTGTATTTAACATTCATTTTGCTGCCATTGACAAAACTAATTCTTTCCAATGTTTTTTCATAAAACATGGTTGGAATTAATCCTTCTTGGATGCAGTTAACATCTGCTCCAGTATCCATTAGGGCAATAATAGTAATATGAAAACTATTGTTAATGATTAATTTTACTTCAACATGCCATTTTTGGACAGTTAAAGAATTAATCAGACTAATTCTTTTTGTCATTAGCGGCTCCTTCCTGGAATGAAGGCAGGTTCGTTACACCAGAAGTTTCCGTCTGAAAGGAGGAGGTTACTGGTATCCCCTGTGTGTAGCCTTGATGATCAAAAGGATTAATAAAATCTGCAGTCTGATCTTCTGGATCAGAATCCTGGGATTTTTCAGAATATTTTTCTGTTTGTAAAAGAGTTAAAGCTTCAGCAAATTTCTTGTCTTGAGCTTTTAAATCTTTTATCTCAATTTTAAGCTTGTTAACTTCACTTTGGAGATCTTGTAAGGTGATTTCTTTTTTCTTTTCCTTACTAAATCTTTCCATAGTTTTGTTAAGGCTTATTTTCTTTAATTGAAATATTTTGTATATTTTCCATATCTGTGCATATTCTCTCTATCTTCCATGAATTCCGCACTTGTCTTATATTTGGTATATATATATATATATATATATATATTAGTTATTACCCGTATCTAAAGATACTCTTAACACAAAAAACTCACCAAGAAAATAGGGCATCCAAGAATGTCTTCAATAAAATAAATTTAAGGGTTAAAATGAAGAAGAATCATTTAACATTAACACAATCCAAGAATCTCCATGAACTTAAACTAATACTATTACAAAATTATCATGTCATTCATTTCTTCATAGCGGCTCTTCTCTCCACCAAATGAGTATTCATTTTTTCAACCTCTAGTTAAATCTAAAAAATATGTTGTCTAGTTTTAATAAAAAATATCATTAAAAACACAATTAAATCATTGAATCCAATCAACCAAATCAGCCACATTGAACTACAAATCAAAATTTCAAAATATAGGACAAAAATCCAACTAAACTAACATTGCTCAGTAGATCTGCTTGTAACTGCAAAGACAATTTATTTAAATTCTCTGCTGTTGTGACTTCTCTGATGTTACAAAAATATACTCACGCTACAATTAAACCAAATCAATAAAATAAAAAAAATTCACCACTTCAAAACAAAATTTGATTTAACTGACATTTTGTTGTTTCGGTGTCTATTTTGCATTATTCAAGTATTCGGAAAAATATGAACATTAGCAAGAAAAAAGTGATGCAAATAAAAAAAAATTATACTTAGTTTTGAATTTTTTGTTTGGGTGTAATTAGTATCACTTATTTTTTTTATTTGTCCTTGTTATTTTTTTATTGGTAATTAGCTTGACTTTAAATTTTTGTTATTTTTTTTATTGGTAATTAGCTTGATTTTGAATGTCTACAACTTTAAAAAAAAAATATTTAAATATTTTCTCACTTCTCAAATGTTACAAAAAATATACCCACGCTGCAATTAAACCAAATCAATAAAATTAGTTTTGAATTTTTTTTTGGAGTAAATGGTGTCACTTATTTTATTTGTCATTGTTATTTTTTATTGGTAATTAGTTTGGCTTTAAATGTCTATAACCTGGGAAAAATATTTTAACATATAAATATTTTCTCATCTATAAATTTTAATTTTTTTTTTTAAGTTGCAGACATTCAAAGCCAAACTAATTATCAAAAAAAAAAACAAAAATTCAAAGTCAAGCTAATTACTAATAAAAAAATAACAATGACAAATAAAAAAAATAAGTGAAACCAATTACACCAAAAAAAAAAAAGAAAATTCAAAACTAAGTATAGTTTTTTTTATATATGATTTCCTCTTGCTAATATTCATATTTTTTCGAATGCTTGAATAATGCAAAATAGACATTGAAACAACAAAAGATTAGTTAAATCAATTTTTTTTGAAATGGTGAATTTTTTATTTTATTGATTTGGTTTAATTGCAGCGTGAGTATATTTTTGTAATATCTGAGAAGTCACAGTGGCAGAGAATTTAAATTAATTGTCCTCGCAGCTACAAGCAGATCTGCTGAGCAATGTTAGTTCAGTTGGATATTTTTCTATATCTTGAAATTTTGATTTGTAGTTCAATGTGGTTAATTAGTTTGATTGAATTCAGTGATTTAATTGTGTTCTTAATGGTATTATTTATTAAAACTAGAGAACCTATTCATTAGATTTAACTAGAGGTTAAAAAAATAAATAATCATTTGGTGGAGAGAAGAGCCACCATGAAGAAATAAATGACATGATAATTTTGTAATGGTGTTTGTTTAAGTTTATGAAGATTCTCGGATTGTGTTAATGTTACATGATTATACAAACACCCTTTACCAGGGAGATCGGAGAGATGGAGGTTTCAAGAAAGTTTGTCATGCCGAGGTTCAAAACTTATGACGGGCGGTCCGATCCCGAAGCCCATCTCAGGCAATACAAGCAGATGATGTCCCTCTATCATTCGGACCAACGGTTCCTCTGCCGAGTGTTTCCTATGAGCTTGGGGGGACTCTGCGATGAAGTGGTTCAAGGTGCTTCCCCCCAACAGTATTGGATCGTGGAAGGAATTGACGAGGCAGTTCCTGGCTCGATTCATTACGGGGAGTAAACGGCCCAAAGACGTTGGATCGTTGCTAACGCTCAGAAGCAGGGAATCTGAGACCCTTCGCCAGTATGCTACCCGATATTGGGAAGAGGTAAATCATATAGGGGATCGCTATCTTAATCTATTGCAGGAAATCTCCCTTGTAATATTTATAGTTTCTTGGGGCAATTAATTCGCTCAAGATTTTGTTTTAGGAATTCCCTGATGAGTCTATATCATAGGCCATTTCCAAGTCAATTTTAATGATCGTTTCTTTTTTTTTCCCCTTTAATTATTTTCCAATGTCCGAATGAGCTCTTGTGCAATTATCGCATTATCAATCCCTTGCCTCCCTGGGATGAACCTAGTTTATAAAGGATGAATTAGGTCGTCCAAAAGTGGTCTAAATCTATTCACTAGGATTTTTGATAAAACCTTGTAAACAGTATTACACATACTAATTGGTTGGTAGATATTGAGGGATTGTGGACTCAGGATTTTTAGGATAAGACACAAATGTTTTTGTGATTTTAGGATTGATTCTTTTCGTGTCAAAGACTTGGTGGATGAAAATTTGGATGGTTAATTCAATAGTTTCCCATTGGGATTGATAAAATATAGCATGGAAACTAACGGGACTAGGAGTTTTCCTTGGTTTGAGTTGCCACATTGTTTCTGTAATCTCTATTGGATTCGGGGGTTCGTTCTATGGTGGCTGTGTCAACCTCCCTTACCCTTGGGGAGTTAAGCTAGTAGGAAAACTCCACCGGATTGTCCTCCCCCTATGAAGGTGCAAAAATATTTTTGAAGTGTGAGACCACTAATTCTTTGATTTTTTTCTATATTGTAATTCCATTCCTTAGTTGTTTTTTTGAGTCCTAGGATTTTGTTTCTCCTTCGTCCAGTCAATGTTGAAGTATGAAAAAACTTGATGTTACCATCCCCAATAGTTAGACACTCTACCCGAGGTTTTAAAGCCCAAAATTCCTCCTGTTGGTGAGTTATATTACGGTATTCAACTCTCAAGGTTTTTTTCAGGTTAAAAAGATGGGGGTTAGGATTCTCGCAAATAGTTTTTTGCATCTCAACAACCTAGCTAACAATCTTTTTTTTCTTATGGAAAATATTCCCAAATTCATATTTATTTTAGTCTCGAAGATTTTTTTGATTGTGATTCAAGTTCAACATGGATTGGTTTATTCACCCCCCCCCCATTGGTTTCTAGCCACATCATTAAAATGATTGTGCCCCAGCCAAATAGTCTCAAAATGGAAAGGCCGCTCTGGGATTAAATCATGGGAAAGAGTTTTCAAAAGAATTGGGCAGTGATCTGACTCGGTTCTAGAGAGGTGGATGACTGTTGTCTTAAGGAAAATATGAAGCCATTCATGGTTGCACCAAGATCCATCAATACACTGCATGATAAGTCCCTTTGATTGCCTAGCACTGGTCCATGTAAACTTTGGTCCAATGAACCTCAAGTCAATCATTTTGCAGTGGTCCATGCAATCCAGGTAGTTTGACACCCTTCCTCTATGAATTGGCAATCCCCCAAATTTTTTCTCGACTGAGTGACTTCATTGAAGTCCCCCATTATCATCCAAGGGAGTGAATGTGACTCAGCAACAATTTTCAAAATTTATCCATAGAACATTTTTACAATCCAAGCTAAGACTAGCATAAATGCAAGAAATAAGTCGAGGGGGATAGGAAGTCACCTCAATGAAGGTGTGCACCTCTTACTCCATACGCTGGACAATGTTAACATTAATTTCATGTGAATTCCACAAAATTCAGATCCCCCCCCCATATACCCGAAAGGATCCACATGGTAGACACCATCTAGATCAAAGAAGTGGCTTCTTCTCTCAACTTTCTCCCCTCCAACTTTGGTTTCTAAAATTATCACTATGTTCGGTTGGTGTACTTGAATCAATTCCGTCAGGGTATTATTGAACTCTTGGTGTTAAACACCTCTATAGTTACAGAACAATATCTTCATCTCTAACATCATTTCCCTTCCAACATCCTGGGATGGAAGGCCTTCTTTGTTGCATTTAAAAGAATTGTCTCCTCCAACTCTGGATCAAGCCCACCTCCGAGAACCATATTGGACAGATCGCTAAATAGGTCTCCATCGATCCAATCTTCATTCGATGGGTGGATCTTATGATGACGCGAACTCTTAGTTTCCCTTTTTGAATGAATACCTAGAGCACTTTATTTACTGGGCTTAGAGCTATTGTCTCAATTGGGATCCCCCCTAATTCTGCCCATTCTGGAACTAACCCCAACTTCTCCATTTTTGGACAGCCCCTTACCATCTTCCTACTTAGTGCAATCCTCTTCTCTGATGCATTTGGGTATCTCTCCACGTACTTTATTGCTACTTGCTCGATCCGCTGGTTAGGCATCTAAATAAATGAGGGTTTCACCATAGAGTTCACCCCCTTACTGCCATGATGATCTGCCAATTTATTTTCCATCAAGGCCTCCCATGCTCTTTGTATCTCTTGGTCTTGCTATCCCCATAGGTGATGGGGTGCCCATATTAGAGTGCTTATGGATTCCCAGTCCAGAGGAATCAATAGATGACGAATTTGGAATGTCCATGGGTATGGTGCCACTATTGGGGTTATTGGGCTAGGCATTAGCTGTAGAGAGAATGTTGGAGTGTCCGTAGTATTCCTCCTTTTCTAAGGATTCGAAGGCTGAAAGAAGGTGTGAATCTATCTCCGTATCAAAAAATTGATCTTCTATAGTATCTTGTGCATTACTTGACTACAAGTTAGACATTGTAGGGCTATTCTTTTCCTTCACATCGTCATCATTCTGGTTCCAATCTCCTGTCTCTCAAAAAATAAACTTCACAATCAATTGGATTTTGGTTGGTTTTGAACCAACCTCTATAATGGACTTTTCAATATTTTTTGTAACCTCTTTGATAGCCTTCTTATCCTCTCTCTTGGCTCTATTGCTCTCTTGCACTTCTCGATAATTTATTACAACTAAGGTTAGTTTGATCTGCTGCAATTAGTCAAGATAAACTCTCTTGGATTTTGTATCCTCTATCTTTTTATTCTCTCTATCACCTTTTTTTGGTCACTATTTTCTTTACCATTGGAAAGTCCAACTTTTATTTTGTTGTTGGCCACGTGTTGGTTGGAGATTGGTTGAAGTATTAGTTGCCATGTGGACTCTTGTCGACTGTTCATCTGCTCTCAAGTGGGGGCCGAACTGCTCTTCGGTAGACTGTTGTGTTCTTCGGCGGTCAGGCTACATCTTAGGTTATGAACTTGACTCGGATCTGCAGGTTTTTCCTTGTTTCGATTCTTTTTTTTTACAATACTGGCCAACCGTCCATTCATCGTAATCCCCGCACCCCAGATTAGTAGGTTGTCTCCTTGGGTGGGTCTTTAACACCATTCTCCTTGGTGGTCCTTCGATTGTGCCGCTGGACATAGCTTTTTTCAGTGTCCCACTCGTCCACAAAAGAAACACGAGTAGATCCCCTCATAAAAAACTGGGCATGTTTCGGCCTCAATCTTGTTCTTTGTCACAAGCGGTTTTTCTAGTTGTATTTAGATGCATATTCTCACAAATCATCCTCTCTTTCTTAGAGGTGTATGTATCGATTTGGAGCAATTGCCCCAACTCGGATCCTATTTTCTATAGGATGAGTGGATCATAGTATTCCACCGAAAGTTCAGGGATCCGTGTCTAGATTTTCGTTTTTGTTACGGTTGTCATGGTTGGTCTGAAGTCGGCCTCCCATTTATGGATTGAGAGGTATTGATTGATGAGAAACCAAGGGCCACCATGGAGCGCCTTAATGTAGTCCCTTTTTGTATCAAAGGAAACTGTGAAGTATCTCATACCTAAGTCGATGATCTCGGTTGTAACATACTTTTTAATTTGGTGGAAAGAAAGGTGTAACTCACCGACCGCCCAAAAGGTTTAACTATATCGGATTTCTTTCACAGGTTCCGGATCCATCTCTTGTCCTATTTTGTGAGTCGAATATGCACTCTCGATGAAGAGTCTTCCTCTTGCTCATCCGATAGCAGCTCCTCGTCATTAAGATCCTTCACATATCTCACATCCTGTGTTGTTTTCTGGTTTTGAATCATGTCTTTGTAGGATAGTCTTACAAGGGTTCTTGTATCTTCCAGTCTGGTTTAGATCCCAGATCTGTGGCTTGAGTCATGTCCTTGATTTTGTTTATGCTTCGTTCATGGTAATCTTCCTCTTCTTCACTCACTTTTCCGGTGGAACTTTTGCCTGTGTCGAGCATCTTCGCCGTTTACAAGGGGCACATTAGAATTGCCAAAATTGTCACTCTCTCTTTCTTTAATGCCTCACTTAAAAGAAACAACATCATTCTTCCCCTCAAATTTCCCTCTCCCAACCCAACCTTTTAAGGATGTAATAGTTTGGACTACCTAGAAGGAAATATACAGTCTTGATAATAAAAAAAATATACACCATCTGACGTGGATTCTACATATTAGGCCCCTGAAGTTTACGAAAGTATTACTTAGACCCCCCACAGTCAGAACTGTCACAACTAGACCGGATGTTATTCGGTGCACACATATTCACCGGCTAGTATTATCAAACTTAGGATTGACATACCCACGACAGTTTTTTTTTTTTTTACACAATTTCACTCAATTATAAATTACTACATATATTCAAGTGAGGTAAGTAATCTCCGAATTGGATGATCGATAAGAGAAAAAAACAAAAACCAAAAGAACAGGGGCGGAGTCAGGATTTTGCTTCAGTTGGGGCAATCTATTCATAACTGATTAAAAAATAATTTTGTCTAATTAGATTCAAGTTTAAGAGTTCGTCATTAAGTTCGTAACAAATGAGATAATGGATTACACATAATCAAAATATAATCTCAACTAGAATTTCAAGAAATCTATTAACGCAATTTAATCATAGGGAAGAAAAATAGTACTAACCAAGAATTTTAGATAATCAATCTAAACATGAGCTTTAACAAAAATTCAAAATAGTTGAGTGCTGACCCAAGACGAAACAAAAAAAAACCTACATAAAATCATAAATAATACACCAAACAACCATCAATTCTACAAGAGTTAAACTAATTTTCTAATATAAAAAATCTGATTTTAGATTAGTGCTAATACTACTATCACAAAATTTGGTTAATAGATTACCTCTCCTTAGTTTCAACATAATCTTCTAGGATTTTTTTAAATTTGATTTGTACGATGATTGAATCCAATAGGGTGATTTGTTGATGAATATACCAAAGGAACTAATAAAGAAATTAAATAAAAGAAAGAAGAGGGCTGCCGGTTGGAAGTCTGGACAAAGAAGTCTTCTTACAAAAAAAAAAAGTAGCGCGTGAAGAAGAGCCGCCAAAAGTTAGATTTTAAGGGTATAAAATTATATAAACATATCATATACTTTAATAAAATTTCAGTGGGGTAAGTTTAAGAAATTCTTAAAATTTTTAAAATTACACTTAGGTCTCAAATTTTTTAAAAATTCAGTGGGGGCAACTGCTAGGCGTGAAAAATGAGGAAGAACTGTCAAAAGTTAGCTTTTAAGGGTTAAAAATTATATTAATATATCCTATACTTAAAAAAATTTCAATGGGATAAATTTAAAAAATTCTTAAAATTTTTAAAATTACACCTTAATCCCAAAATTTTTTAAAACTTTAGTGGGGGCAGCTGCCCATGTTAAATCCGCCGCCGCCAGAAAAAGAAAGATGTATAGACACTAAAAGCCAACTAGAAAGGCTTTTGTATAGGTGAGTATAGAGTTATTTTTAAATTATTGTTTACACTCCTTGTATATATATATAGATCTAACTTTAGCCGCATCCGCTCTCAATTCTAAAATTTCACTCATTCTCTTCTGGTTTGTATATTCCCTTCAAATACACCCCCTTGCCATGACGAACCATTACTCACAATTACAAAAAAGAGTAATGTTATCATTATTTTTTTAAATGCCAATTTTATCCCCATCTTCCTCACGACCACTACACCCCATATCTGTCTCCATTTACACAAATTACTGCACTAACACACCACTGTTTGTAGCACTTCCCCCCTTCCTACCTGATTTAAATACACCACTGAACCATCGTGTTAATATTTAATTTTATACAATTAATATTTAATTTTATCAAATTAATATTCAATTTTATTAAATTAGCATTAAATTAACCTTAAATTTTATCAAATTATTATTCACATTCATCAAATTAGCATTTAATTCATCTAATTAACATACAATTTATTTAAACTTATACCAAATTAATATTTAATTTCATCAATTTTATCAAAATAACATTAAACTTCATCAAATTACTAGCAAATTAATATTCAATTTAATCAAATTAACAATCAATTTTGTTAATTTAACATTCAATTTTATCAAATCAATATTAAATTCCATCAAATTAATACCAAATTAACATGAAATGGATATTAAGTTTTATAAAGTTACCATTTTATTTCAGCAAATTAACATTCAATCTCATCAAATCGATATTCAATTTTATCAAATTAATATTAAATTTTATTAAATTTACACCAAATTAACATTTAATTATATCATATTTACATTTAATTGAATCAATTTAACATCCAATTGATCAAGTTAACATCATTTCTTTAATTGAATCCCAAATTAACATTCAACTTCATCAAATACATACTAAATTGTCATTCAATTTTATGAATTACCAAATTAACTTTCAATTGTATCAAATTAACATTCAATTTTATCCAATTAAGGATCAAATTTATGAATTTAATATTTTTTATCAAATTAATTTTTTTTAAATTAACATTCAGTTTCATCAAATTAACATTATGTTTAATTTAATTTCATAGTAAACATTGTGTTTAATCCAATTAACGTTTAATTTAATGTAATTAATACCCAAGAGACGTTGGACATGTATGTAAAAACAGTTAATATGTTAAATAGTGGATAACTTCAGAATAATAACTTTTTCGTTTGCTCCATTACTACACAAACTCTGGCAATGGGTGTCAATAAAGTTTCAAAATCGGAAGAGAATGTCTCTGAAAATAAGCCTATTTACAAAAAGTGTGTATAAAATTTACCCTGAATTATTTACTTTAAGCTGTTCAGAAAACCAATTACTTTTAAGTATATTGCCTGAGTTCAGAAGAAAGAGGGTGATGAATGGGCAGGTAGTGGTAGGACTGCAGTGGGCATCCCCCAAAACTTGTATAGCAGAGAGGAGCTTCAGAGTCTTTGGTGTATCTAGTCTCTTAGGAGAAATCTCTTGGAATGGTGCAGTGGTAGAGTCTAGCCTATTAGGGAGTAGTCGTTAGGGTTCGAATCCTATAACCATTGCTTTACAATCAAGTGACACCCACAAATCAGAAAAATAGCTCTGATGGAACAAACAATTTGCAAGGAAACAGATCCAACTCTCTGGCGCCAATCTTTCAATGATATGTATCACATTAGATCATGATCGAACAGACAAAATGAAATGCTTCAATCGGACCATCAATAAACTCAGCACATAACTGAGTATAGTTTTCAAACACAAGTTGCATCGTTTAAAACAAAACCACATCTCATCAACTGATCTTTGAGAACCATCTAAACAAAACACACTTCAACATCAGAGTTTTTTTGCAGCAGCTGTAGAATATTGAAGGAGCAGTATTGCGTCTAATGCTCAATGTGGTGCACATACTTTATCATTATCGAGATTGGAAACACCTTCCTAGTTCCATCTCATTGCAACTCATAGGGAGGAAAAAATGAAACCCAATCTTCCCTCGTTGGTGGACTTCAGCTCAAGTTTCTGAAATGGGCTGCAAGGTTGGTTCAGGTATATCCTCTTTAGTAACTTGCGTATTCAACAATTTAAAAGGTTAGAAAAAAACATAGTGTAAAACATAAAAGGATGAGTGATCTGGTCTATATGACCTTATATACAACTCCATGAAATGACAAAACAGGAAACTGGTAGCTTAGGAATTTTTTGGGAGGTGATACCTTAGGAATTTTTATTCCAAAGAAGAGCAAAGAGTAAATTTAAACTATGACAAGATTTTAAGACAAAACAAGGAAATAAAACCAAGGGGTTACCTGCTATTGGGATCATAATAGAAACCATTGATGGAGCCATCACTACAGGAGAAGCAAACATAGTAGAAACCAGCTATGGTTAACCCACAGTCAGTTCCAACATTCACAAAGTATTGCTCTTTCCATCTCTACACGGTCAAAGTCAGAAGATGGAAATTAATTATGACATAGCGTAAACTCCCTTCACTCAATGAAATCGCAAAAAACACACTACCATAAATATGCAGGGGTAGTTACTTAAGTCCAAATATCTCCCACCATCAACCTCCACTTTGCTCTGAGAAGGGCAGAGAAAATCAAGAGAGCGTATGTTTTGAATGGCAAGGAAAAAGGTTAACTATATTACCAGAAGGGGTGAGAAAGATGGAAATTTGGTCCAGTGCCTTATGTCGTCTTCAGGCCTGTTCATAATTTCCAAACCAATCATGGGGAGAATGGTTGTTGGCTGTAATCCAAATAGCAGTAAGTTGTTAGACATGAACTTACTTTGCTTCCCACTTGCCAGTGAAGAAAGTATGATTCTTTGTGTCAACAATCTCTCCTTCCCAGAAAGTAACAACCTGAATACAAGGTAAAACGACAAAAAAGGCACTTGAACAGCCATTTGTATGGGGAACTTAAAATCTAGTCGCTACTCCTAGTGGCTAGTAGCCTAATACTACTAACTCATTGGGAAACTAATCATTGACAGTAAAGAAGATAAGATGGTGGATGTCATAAAAAATTCGAGCCTCCAACAGGTTGAACTACACCTGATTCCCCCTCCCCCAAAAAAAAAAAAGTCATGGGAGTCCACCCAACAAGCACTCCATAGTCGTTTTGTTATACGTCTTCCCATGTATTCTAATAAGTTTTGTTTCCATCCCTATTCTAATTTTAGTCACATAAGCAACCCCATGGGAAAAATTTATCATTAAAATAATGAAACTAACAAATTGTTTGCAAATTCCTCCCTTTATATTATTTCATTATCCCTTTTAAGAAAAAAAGCCTGGGAATACTATGAAATAGATCACTAGTGAAGTTTATACAATCACATATTCAAACTGACTTAGATATTTGGAAAGACTGATAGAAGGCCCATTACTAACAATCACCAAGAGTTTGAGTCGTGAAAATAGCCTCTTTGCATGGTGGTAAGGCCGCGTATATTGGACCCTCCTTACACCTCGCAGTGGCGGAAGCAGGGAGCGGGGAGCAAACCACCCTTTTTGTTTTGCCTTATTAAAGGTTTACACCAGAAATTTATTCCATCTAATTTTGGTAAAAGACTTGACTTATGCTGGATCTATAAATGGTAGCATATAAGTGCATTGGGTGATGCTAAATATATATATACTCATGAAACCAAAACAAGAATGCCTGCTTTATGAATACTGTCTTGCTAAACTACTCCCAAGCTTTCAACATCTCACCTTGTAGATGAAAGGTATCGCAAACTTCCTAGCTATTCAGTTTTACGATCTTCTCATTAACTACTGATGACATTCAAGAGATTTGCTTCAAGTAAAATTGCTACATATGCATCATTAAACAGAATCCAAATGAAAAAATGAAATAGATACTAATAGCTATCTTTCTCAAACAGAAGTTTCTTACTGGTGAGTCTGCCATAGGAACATCAAGTGCTTCCATAGTGCCACATAGATAGCCATGGTTGAGGTCACAACCTTGAATCCGTACATTAACTCTCCATGCTTCGTCCTTTCGAAGAATGGAGAATTCTGAGTACCAGAAAATGCCTGTAAAAAGTTAGGCAGTTAGCTCAAAGGACACTTCTCAATTTCCAAAACAAGGCGTACAATATCTAAATAACCATGCTGCACAAGCTAATGTTCACTTAAGTCTCAGGCTTGATAGTTGTTATTCTTCAATGAAGATGTTGGACTCCAAATTACATGGTTCCTTTCCATTCCCAGTACCTAAGCACCTCAAAAAGTGTGGATCAACTCCTACGTTTACTTTTATTTGTAAACAAACTCATACTTTTCCCGGGACATATTTATAGACAACAGTTTATAAGTTGAAAGAAGTTATTTGACATCAATGATCAAACAAACAATGTAAACAATAAGACCGGAAGAATACATTAATATGCTTTGCGTTTCTTTTTTTCCTTTTTGTTTTCTTTTTGAAGGTTGGGATTTAATAAGTATGCAAGGGTATGATGATATAGAACAACTGCATAAAGCTTAAACCACCATTAAAATTAACTGGGAAACCAGTAATCAAAGTTCTAAAGGTCATCACAATTACTTTATGGCTCAAAAAATTTTGGTGTATCTGTAAACAACCTGCACTGTGCCAAGCTACCAGCTGTAAGTTATTCATTATGTTGGAAGTTCGCAAATTATAGGTTTTATAGAATAATAACGGTGGTGGCAGAAACATGCTAAAAATGGAACCACAAATAGCAGGTTGTTCACTACATATCCTAACATTATATGTCTATAGACTCTATACAGCTTGATAATTGATATCCATCCATTGCAGAATTATCCAGAAACCTGATCTACTTGCAGATAACATCTGTCGCATATGTTCTGAAACATAGTATACTATCATTTCAGAACACTTCAATTTAGCGACAAAAACACTACATCATAATTTCCAATGTAGCAGTGTCATACAAATAGAAAGATATGTGTTTCATAAAGCATCCACTTTTCCACATACAATTGACCATGCATTAGAGAATTTCTCAAGGTATTGCATTGACAATGCAACCTCTATAACCCTAATCCTACCCTTGAGTACAACATGTACATCCCCGTTTCCTGCATTCCAAGTTAAAAGAAAATTGTGTACTTGCAGCACAAGTTCCATCCCTACCATACCCAGCTTACTAAGACTTTATATCACATGTGTGGCATAAATTTGTGTCTCTTAAACATTTTGTAGAACTACCAAGCCTTTCACACCTTTTTTGGGTAGGTCAGCCTTCCACACCTTGCCTTGCTAGCATGGCCAAACTTCTTAAAACTGATGCACAAATAACTAATCATCAAATAACTAATCTGCCATTTGTGTGACTATAAATATTAACCCTACGCTAAGAGAGGTAACCACCCTTAGTTAGTGTATTGAACATATAGGTCAATCAATAAAAAAATGTATACTAGATATATGAAATGGCTAACATATTAAGTGTGTGACCTCCATATATATCACCAAATGCTACATGAGAAATGACATAAATAGCAAAACCAGGTGTGAGTACATTCACCTGTCCAACACTTAGAAGCGTACAAGGAGGTGGTGAAGTATGTTCATGATTTGAGCCTACACAATCAAGGGGAAAATATACTAGGAATTAGATAGGTAAATTATCTGATGAAGTTACTCTGTTACTGCTAAAACAAAACAACACATCCAGTTAATTCTTTTGATTGCCAAATTCGACACAAACCTAAGACTATTGAAAGCAGGCTCAAATGAATTTGTGTTTGTTAATCAAAAAAGAGATATATGTAAACCCATGGTAATCATCATTCTCCAAAAAATGTTCAAGACAATGAAGAACTAGAATACAATTCGTGTACGGGTGCTTCAATATAGAATACAGAACCAAAATGGGAATATTATTTTGGAGTTCAATAACAAAATTTGAAAGGAAAAACAAAGAAATTGGGAGAAAAATAATGATGGGCAAACAGATTAGATCTCATTTTCCAAGAAAAGTCAATGTGCTAAAAAACTTTTCATTGTAGGATAGCTGTGGAATTTATCCTCGCATCTACAGTACTCCATAACAGAGGCCCAATGTGATTGGTAGAGATGTTACAACGTGGTAAAAAAAAAGCGGCACCATGTTTAAATGAAAATTCTAAGGAGCATGAAATGACAGTTCATTCCCTCTGACATCCTAGTTAATAGGGAAGGGAAATTCAATTGATTAATATTTTTGGCATTAAGCAAGCT